TGTTATTAGCAACACATCTGTATTGTCCTGCATCCGATTGTTGAACATTTGATAAAGTCAATTGGTAGTTTCCATCAATGAAAGACGCATTAAGTCGCGCATGTGTAGCCACATTCAATCCCACTCCATCTTTTTCCCAAGCAATATCAGGTGTAGGGTATCCTGCTACTACGCAATTGAACACAGCTGTTTGTCCTTCCACTTTCGTGTCATCACTTGGAGATTGGGAGATTTCAGGGGCAACTATTAATACAAATAGCGAAAGAGAAATTATGATTCCTAACATACCAAACGTTATTCGCGAGATGTAGCGCGATCATTTGAAAAGACTCACTCACCCTTCCTCCGTTTGATTACTGTGAAAAATAGCAGACGTTAAAAGGATTTGAATAAAAACGACAACAAAATTGTTGAAGGCGCGCTCTGATTGGTTATTGAACCTCCGAGTTTCCTTTACTATTCATGCCCGAGAATATTGTAATCATTGCACTAATAGATGAGTTAAAATCATCTTTTTGTGTCATATTATCGCGCTGTTTTAGTATATTCTTAAATAACTTCATGTATTCACCTTATTGTCGGCGGCTAGATGATATTTACCGGCTTGGTGAATATCCGCCATTAGCCACCTCTACTTCGGTGAATTCTAATTTATTTAACAATATAAGAATAGAGTAAAACATCTTCATGACAATCAGCTGCTTGTTCGCTTTGAAAGAACTCTGCTGTGGCACAATAAAGTGAAAGTAAAGAAAGATTTGCCCAAACAGGTCAACCACTCTTGAAGGATAAATATATACATATATACATACTAAATATGATTATGGCTCCTCAGGCCAAACACATCTTTTCAGTAAATTGACATTTTGCAACAACTCGTAAAACCATACTTGTACTCACATTGAACAGTCACTGTGGCAGCATTGGAGTAAGCAACTCCAACTTCGTTGCTCGCCGCACACTGGTACGCACCGTTGTCTGTCCTGCTCACATTAACTATTGTCAGCTGTTCGTTGTCTCTTGAGAAAAAGATTCTGGAATCCTCACCAGGATTTATATCAGATCCATTTTTTTCCCATGATATCCTTAAAGAGCTTCCAGAAGCGTTGCAAAATAGAGTCAAGTTTTCTCCCTCTTTGACCGGACTGGCTTTTGGGTCCAGCTCTATAGCAGGCGTCACTGTAGAAATGCAAAGAGCTCATACATAAATGTAATATCTTCTCGTCAGTTCTTCAACAGTTTCGTATGTTACAAATTTGCTCTCCCAGGTGTCCCCTTAGGCCGAATATTGCGTTCTCTGACTTAATTCTCACCCCTCCCCAGACTAGACGAATGTTGGCGTCTAAACATGCATGCAATTTCCTAATGACGTTGAGATAATATTTTTCTTATTTACTTCACAATAACAATTTTCGCCTAAACATGTTACTTGCGACAGGTAAAAAGTAGAGGGTCTCAATGGGGTAAACCGATGATGCTCAATAAGATTTGCCCGCAGGCGTTGAAATTGAGAAATTTTAATTTTAATTGTTAGAGTTAGTTGGAGTTAGTTAGAGTCAAAGGAAATTTCAGGTGATCACAGTGCAAAGAAATTGACCATGAGCCGTAAATTGAACAAAAGTTTAACCATTAGCCGTAAAAGCAAACACCTCATTGAAACTCTCGAAGTACCTTAAGGTCTCACAGGACTGACGTACAGATCAGTCTTTCAATGTGTATCATTTTATGAGTCAAATTTTGGCCACACGCTTTTTAAAACTATAAAATATTTCCGTGACTTCACATCGAACTTCTGTTTTCGATCACTTTCGGCCAAGAAATAAATAAAC